ACTCCTTCTCTTAATACTGTTTCTAACATGCCTGCTGTCTGATACCTTAATGCAAATGCCTTCTCTTGGGGAAAGAAACCAATCTGTAGACTAATTACAGTGGATATATTTAGTAGGAGAAGATATCAAAAGTGTTGAACATTTCAAACTAGGTATTTGTTTTTGTTACACATTATCTAGATGCACAAATAAAAAAACCTGTTGATATTTTTCTGCAGTAAACATGTTGGTTTCTTTGATTTTGTACTCTGCCCATTCAGCTTCATGATCAGTTTTAGAAGCTGAGTAGCTTGATGAAGATGATTGTTTGATGTACAACCTGAATTTGACAATGGGAACCATGGTTAAGTGAGTAACACATAGCACACACAATGCTAGCTAACAAAGCATCCGATATGAATCAAACTAATCAACTCATCTTGAGCTTGAACTAGGTATGTTGCATTTCTGTATTAATTCCAAGATACAATTGTTCCAGAATCACAAATTTAACATTAATGTAATTTGAATAAATCAATTTGATTGAAGAAGAATCTTACGTCTGAATCAAACTAATCAACTCATCTTCACCATAAGATCCCGCGGATAGCCTGGTATCCACCTTATGCATCAACTTCCCCATTGAATCAAATTGCTGAACAAAGCACGACATAAACATCTAATTAATAACAAAACAACTTCAAAAACCAAAACAGATGATCCGAATTGTGATACCGACGTGAAAAGAACCGGTCCAGTTCCCCAAATTGAGTCTGATGAATCGCTTAAGAGCATCGATGCTCATCGATTCCTGATTTGTTTTTTGAGGATTATTATACGAAGTCGATGAAGGAGACGTTGCGTTGGTTAACAATGACGTTTTGTGAGGAATTGCTCGACGGTATGGTTTAGGGTTTATGAAAATTGAATTGACCGAATTACTACTGCTGCAAAAAGCACCAATCGGACAGAAGGCTGCCATTCGAGTAATCAATTGAGGCCAATTGAAATCTTTTGAGTTTTGGTGAAAGCTTAGTTCGTTGTGTTTGAAGTTATGTTGGAAGATGCATTTCCATACCACCAAGGCACCAATAGATTTGCAAATATCTTATCCACACTAAAATCTAAAATCTAGGGTCGTCCAAAACAGAACCCGGAAATCCAAATACCGACAGTATTGAAACCGAGAACCGAAATGGAACCCAAACTGTCGGGTTTCGTTTAAGTTTTTTATAAATGAGTTTTGGGTTCGGTTTTAGTACCTCAAACCGACCCAACCCGAGATTATTACATGTTTTTCAATAATATGCTATAATTTGCTTTTTATGTCAAAAGTAATATACATCAAATGCAAAAAGAGGTGGATTTTGGTACTAAATTATAAGGTTAATACTTTAAAAACCATTATTTATACATCTTCGTTTCGATTTAACCCCAACTTTATTTTTTGTTCTTCATTTGTCATTATATTTTGGAAAACGTTTCATTTTTGGACCCTTGACCAGTCACCAACAAGCCACGACGACGTGTCGGTTTTGCATTTTTCTCAGTTTGCATTTAGCCCCAACATTTACGTATAAGTTTCCATTTAGCCCCAATATTTTTTTTGTTCCTGGTTTGCCATTGTTTTTTAGAAAAACTTTCATTTTAGCCCTTGGCTGGTCATTAATAGGTATTTGCATTTCTTTCGTTTCTCAACAAATATGTCATTAGAAATATTTGGTTTCTTAACAAATATGTCATTAGAAATAATCAGTTGTTTTCTTTGGATAAGTTACAAATGAATTAACAATTTTAGATTAACATGTCATATTATTTATTAGATGTCATAGACTCAAGAAATACACTAGGTCTTTTTTCTTCATTTTAAAATATATGTGTACATTAAATTAAATACAACAAACACTGATAATACAAAAAAAAAAGAACCATTAACTTACCAGTTAACACGCCCCGTCCCTTAAAGAGAAGACACATTTTTTACTCTCTAGAAATATATGGTTTCTCAACAAATATGTCAGTAAAAATAACAAATTGTTTTTTAGATGAGTTACAAATGATTTAACAATTTTGATTAGCTTAAAGATTAGCATGCCATATTGTTTATTAGATGTTACAGACTCAAGACTTACACTAGGTATTTTTCCTTCATTTTAAAATACATGTGTAGATTAAAATACTTGTATGTATGTCCGGGATTTGGCTCTCGACATTGCAAGAAAAGAACGTGGGGGTAGCCCGTGGCACCTGTATGTAAGACTAGGATTTGACCCTCGGCATTGCAAGCAAAGACCATGGGGGTAGCCCATGACACTTGTATGTAAGACCGGGATTTGGCCCTCGACATTGCAAGGAAAGACCATGGGGGTAGCCCATGGCATTTGTATGTTTTGGTATGTGGTATTTTGGGGAACTCACTAAACTTTGTGCTTACAATTTTATGGTTATGTTTTCAGGTACTTCCGATTCGAAAGGGAAGAGCCCGACTTGATCGCACCGTATCGACCCATGTTTTTGCCTTATGATAATTTTGGGATTGTACTCTGATAACTGTTTTCTTATGAAATACGTTTGAATAGTTAGAAAAAAAGATAATGGATGTTTGGCTAAAAGATAACTAGTGTTTTGACCGAATTAAAAATGAAATTTTTACCTCGTAATTTTTGGGATGTTACAATCATGTTGTGACAAAACCCATCAAAGTTAATTAGGGAAAACCAAAAAGGGTGTCACGTCGTGAAAACTAGTTATCTCAGCTCAATAGATTCAACTCTCAACCCATTAAGCCATTCACCTAATCTTTCCAAAAAGCCTCCTATCGTCCAATAACACCTAAAGGTCGATGTTTTTTTTAGCCATGCTTGCTCATTGTGAGTCTAAGGCTCCAACTAGGTCAAACATGAATTAAAATCACCAAAAGATCACATGCATGGGTCCAATACACATTCAAATTCCAGATCTGAACCATATGATATACAAAAGACCCCAAGGATCCATAAAGTTGCCAACTTTATGGAATCCTACCATTCCAACTATCTCATAATTATAGAAAATGGGACAAAACCTTAGATGTGACAACCTAGCATAAGAAAATTTAGATCTTGGACACTTAATTACAAGGGTCCAGAAATCCACAAAATGAAGTCCCAAGCTAGCCAAGATGCACACAATGCTACACAAGTCTTCTTCCTTCAAAATCAATCAAAGGCACCAAAATGAGCTCAACAATGGAGGAGAGGGGTTGGGGTTTTCTTCTGCAGGTTTGGAAGTGATGGAGGATGAGGGTGAAGGAAACCCTAGCCCCTCATTTCTTTTAAATAGGGTCCAAGTCCCAAATCAGGGTTTTTCATTTGATCAGGTGTCACGTCGTGACACTCAATTGACCCTACCCGCATAACGCGGTCATGTAATGACGTGATGGTGCTTTCCTCATGTCGTGACCCCCCCCCCCTTCAAAATTCATATTTTACTTAAAATCTCATACTCGAGGATCTGGATGTGACACATATATCGTTGAAAATAGGGGACTGACCAAGAACATTATGGTCGTTGTTAGACCCTGCAAGTCCAAAGAACGAATTTCTTATCCACAAATCCTGAGATGCAACAGCTTCTAGTATTATAGTCAGCTACCATGTATCACCTCGAGTAAATTGACCGTGCCACGTAGTTGGACATCTTTCCCACATGACATGCGTACAATCAATACTACAAATCAATCCTGGAAATCCATGTCTCTCTTCATGTGCCAAATATAATCTCTCAATATCACGTGCAATAGGTTTGCGCAAATATTCTTCGTGATAAACCTGGTACACACATGCACAAAACTAATCTACACACTCAATTGTGGTCTGCTCAGATACTTTCAAGTACTTGTCAATGCGTTAAAGGCTATAATGTATCCTAAATTTTTAAGCGCATCTGCACAATTTGTAAACTACTAAATCTCATTCTACCTCTAGCATCGGGGTTTTTGCTTAAAAAATCATAACGAGCCTCTAAAGCATTGCTAATACGTAAAAATAATGTCTTATTCAGACGAAAACAACATTTGAATGCCGCATCATTATAAAGACAATTATCGGCAAAATAATCACATACCAATAATTCATGTGCGGCTTGACAATCTTGATTGACAACCGCTCTTGTACACACAACATTCGTATGTTCTTCATTATGTATGTGTTGCACAACATTGAAGAACATCGAGATAAATTCTCCGTCGTCGTCCGAATCAAAATTTGTAAAAAAAATCCATAAATATGATTTTTTTAGAGAGAAAAAAGAGATGAACGTTATGAAAATATGGTGTTTAAATCTTGTGTTTATATGGGTAAGGTTTATTTATTTAAAAAAATGATTTTGACTGTTGGAAACGGTCAAGGCTTCTGATTCGTGGTGGTCTTATGTCCTCCCAACACAACTCAAAACGAAAACGCTCGACCACGAACCAGCGGGATAGTGTACACGGTTGTGGTTCGTGGCCACGTCGACAACGAGCCATTCGTGACGATCGGTCTAAGGGTAAAAGAGTTTTAAATCTTGTTATATAAAATGGCGACACATTATTTTTTAACTAAAAGTGTTTTTTATTTGATTAATTTTTTTAAGTCTAAGGAATGTGTTTTCAGTACCTGCAATTCCCTTTTTATATATTCAATAAACGTGTTTTTCTATACATTACATAAATAAAGTTAAACTATATATATGTTTTATTTTTCATAAATATAACTAGAAATTTTATATTTTTTATAACTTTTTTTTTGATGTTTTGATAAGCTTTTTTGATATTTACTACTCAATAAAAGATTCTATAAAACTTTTTGAATAATCTAGAAAACATTGAGATATATCACGAGCAATAAAACAAGATATAATAGGCAAGTGTGATAACACGTTTCCAAAATCTAACACATTTGTAATGTATGCATATGCAATCCACTATTTATGTAATTTCTGAATTAATATCAGTAGCTATTTAACTATGAATAATTTGGTACCTGAAACTGTTGAATTCTTCATTGACGATTTCTTGTGAGAAGAAGCAATACACACATCACTTGCAATGGAAGAAGATACAGCATCGGAGGAGGAGGTTGATAAACATAAACAATTTCAACCACGTTAACAGCCACTTTCATGTCATTATTGTAGCAGTAATCTCCATTTGCAGTGGAGTAGTATGTCTTTGGTTGAGTGAGCTTAATCACGTCGCTTCCAAAACCTCCGGTAACGTTGAAGATGAGTCCTTCATCTGAACAGTTTGTGTAGCTCGTTTCATTCACCTCCAACACCGTGAACATCTCCTTGTTGTATACGAAATCTGCACCAGAGATTTAAACAGAAAATCAAAACAGATCGATTAATTGGAGGTGTTTTAGAAGAAGAGATCATGAATTATTGATGATATGTTACAAACCAGAACCAGAGAAAGAATAAAAAGGAAAACGCTATGCGTATACGAAGAACACTCAATGATTAGCGAATGAAATGCTAACGTTCAATGGATCATCACAGAGAAGAAAGTTATTTGAATGTGACGAAGACAGATCTATAGAAATTAAAACTGTTTGTAAATCAGAGAAACAGAAAGCTTACGGAGCCAGTCGCCGACGTAGAACGTCTGTTGAAGAGACCAATCAGTGTAGTTTTGATTCGGTTTCCACAATTCCTTCCCGCCGATCAGGTGACACACCGTACTTCTACAGCTCACGGATGTTAACATCGCTGCTGCCACCACCAGCAGAACCACCGTCTTCAGCCAAACGACGCCTCCTGATCTACTCATTGTTCCAGGAATCTTCTTCAAGCAACGATCACACACACTCTCTCACATACACTTATAACAGTATAACACACACAGAGAGATAATGAGAGTGACGGAGGTTATATATAGCCCCATAAAGTTCGGAAAAAGGGTCAAAATATATGGGTTACAAGGACCACCGGTTCAGGTTAGCGAGAGACGTGTAAAACAGACTTCACACTCAGGCCATGCAACCACCATTGTTTCTCTGGTACCACTGCATTATATTTTTGAATTATTATAATTATATGAAACATTATTCTTTTAGCTAGTAAATGTTTCAGAAATAAAATGAGTATTATTTTTTGTTTTTTCATCGATAAATTATCAATAGATGATCATATTATAAAGTATACGATACAAAATTAAAAATTGGCCATACATAATTAGTAAGTGGTCTCTTTAGTTTACAAAAAATCAATATCTCATATATACAACTTACCACGTTAAATATCTAGTAAAGTCATCAGCATAAGCAATGGTACCTAAGTGATCTCTCGTATAGAGTTGTGTTCACAACATATGAAATTATATGAGGAAACCACTTAATTCGATCTCGTTCATTGATACAAATCGATGGTCTTGATTGGTAGGGGCCATGGATTTTGTAGATGAATCGTTTTAAATATTAGTCATTAGTTTTTGGGACCAAATGGTCTACATCATGATTTTATGGTATATGCTCGTATAACTTGACAAACGATACATAATCCGGTAATCCTAGTGCTATGATTTTTTTTTTTTTTTTTTTTTTTTTTTTTTTTTTTTTTTTGCAACATGTTACTCTTTAAATGGATAGTTTCTTCAGTTCAAAAATCAAACATAGCACGATGTATTTAGTCGAGTTAATCAACCAAAAATTAATATATAATTATAAAAACATACAATATTCTTTTATGCTGCATGTTGTTTTTTTTTTTTTTTTTTCCTATGTAGGCATATTTTTTTTCTTATATCTTTTTCTGAGTCCGTCTATTTCAGGATGAAGTGTGGCATAATTAATCTTCGTTAAAAGGGTCACTAATACCGCCTTCATGTGAAATAAAAGATAAAATGTTTTTATTTTGTTATATAAATTGTGGATATAGATCCCGTAAGAAGAAAAGTTTTGATAAGAAGGTAAAAAAATTTTAATCTGTATATTTTTTTTGGCGAAACAAAAAAATAAACCATAAGATGAATAAAAAATAACATTATTCACAAAAAAAATTTAGAACAAAATGTTTCGATAATTCATTTTTATAATAATTTTGTTGTTATTCACTAAAATTATCCGTAAAATGAAATTTTGATTGATATACTAAAAATGAATTATGAAAGTGTTTTTTAGGGATTTTTTTGGTGAATCATATTACTTTTGATTTATCTAATGATTTATTTTGTTGGTTTGATAAAGAAATATGCATAGAAAAAACTTTTTACCTTCCTACAGAAAAATTTCACTCTTATATATATATATATATATATATATATATATATATATATATATATATATATATATATATATATATATAGGACGGCTCACTTGAGATTAAAAAAAAGTAGAAATCTTGAAATTCAACTTCAGCCACATATTTTTTATTTGTCGCTCTAACGCTCTAGCGTACTGATAGAAACGGGGTATGACTAATCATAAATGATTATATGGCAGAGAGGTATAATCATATATGATTATAAATGTTTATACGTATATAACTAATCATAAATGATTATACATATATGTATGTTCACAGATTGAGTAATCATATATGATTATGACAGTTGGTAGCAGAATAGGTGGTGGTGGCAGAGGTGACGATGATATAAGTGATGGAGGTGACAGTGGTGGGGTCGGCTGGTGTCAGAGGTGGTGGTGACGGTAGTGGTTGTGGTGGTGGGGATGGTGGCGGAGGAGAAAAGAACGGGTGACACCATATAATCATTTATGATTATAACAGGGTTGTCGTGCCGGTACACCGGAGAGTTAGAGCGGCAGAAGTGAAATAAGGTATCAAATAATGTAATTTCTAAACTAAAACTAGTAGCTACTTATGATAAATTTGTGAAGCTGTTGTAACGATGCCCATAATACAGGCCAAACAAAATAGGAGAAAAAATATCCATTCAGTTTCATGATGATGATGATCATCATCATCAGAAACATTTTCAACCACGTTAACGACGACTTTCATGTCATTTTTGTAGCAGTAATCTCCACTTGCAATGAAGAAGTATGGCTTTGGTTGAGTGAGCTTAAACACGTCACTTTCATTACCTCCGGTGACGTTGGAAGATGAATCCTTGATCTGTGCAGTTTTTGTAGCTGGTTTCGTTCACCTCCAACACAGTGAACATGTGCTTGTCCTATTCGAAATCTACAACAGAGATTTAAACAGAAAATTAAAGGTGATTTTACAAGAAGAGATGAAAATGCAACAGAATTAGAGAAATATCAAAATGGAAAAACTTTCGCATACACAAATAAGATTCAATGATTTGCGAAGGAATTATGCTAAAAATCTGCTGGCATTCAATGAATCATCACAACGAGGAAATTAAAATGGTGTGTAAATCAGAGAGACATAAGAGAGGTGTTTAGAACTTCTCTTGAAGAGACCAATCAGTGTAGCTATGATTCAATTTCCACAATTCTTTCCCGCCGACTTGGTGACGCACCTGTTAACCTAGATTGTTAGTTAATGAATTATGTGTTAAATATGATAGTTAAATAAATGAACCACTATGATGGTTCATGGAAAGATGTGTTGGTTAGACCCAACTGTTAGTTTCATATATATATATAATATATATATATATATATTATATATATTAGATATATATATATATATATATATATATATATAAGTCTTGTGTAATTTTCTATGTGTGATGTGTTAGTGTAAGGACTTCTTTTTTTTTTCTTTCAAGATTCACCGTCTGTTCCCAGGGTACAACAACCTTAACGGTATGTGTGACAACCCGTAATTTCCATTCTTGTAAAAGTCAAACTTGGTTAACTAAAGTCAAAACTTATCCAATGAAGGTCAAACTTACTTCTTTAATTATTTTATGGTTAGATTAATGAGTTGTATGTGTTAGACCTTGTATTCAAAGGTGTAGTGTGTCTAAGGAAGAAAACCCTTAAAAACTGAGAACCTTCGCATAAGCTGCAAACCCCTAGCATGGACGGTAAACCCTAGGACCGCAAACGGTTCAGACCGCAAACGGTTTGCAGCCGTGAACTCCATCGGGCCGTGAACCTTCCTCGGACCGCAAACCCTACTATATATATATATATATATATATATATATATATATATATAATATATATAGATATATATATATATATATATATATATATATATATATATATATATATGAGTTTGACCGAATTTGTCTTCACTTCTACACTTCTATCCATGAACTCCAACTTTTTCTCTCAAGATCTTCAACCGAAAACCCAAGTTTTCTCTCATCTATCATCCGAAGATCATCCAATTCACCTCCGGATCTTGTTTAAGAACACCTAGTGTTCTTCTCTTCGAAATCAATCACCCTCCATTCTTGAGTTTGCGGCCGTAAACACCTACATCTCCTTCATTTCACCAAGAACACCAAGATCACACACTTGTTTCCAGCCGAAACACTTGAATCATCAAGTAGACGTGAACCGTTCACACACACACTGAAGCCCAGCCGTGAACACTGAAGTCTAGCCGTAAACACCTTGCAGCCTCTTGATTTCGGTTCTAACACTCCTTTTGTAAGTAATTCTTACATCCTAGGTTGTTTCCTTAAATCCTTTGAGGTTATATTCACTAATTTCATGCCATCATATCACGTGAATTGCTATTTAGGACTTGTTTTGTCACGGGATCTAACTTGTGGAAGTAATCATCCCATATCGAACATCCAAACGAATCACTCACTTAAGGTGAGTTCATACCCCTACAATTTACCTTTTTAAATGCTTTTAGGGGGGGGGGGATACAAGTAGAACACAATTCATTTGTGTTAACATTTACATGTGAAAACAAACAAACAAAGGATTTCTTATGCTTATAATTGTTGTTAAAATCATTTCAAAAACTCTTTCAAACTATTTTCGATTGCTTTTATTATCAAAATCGTATTCATTTACATATCTATGTATAAGTATGCTTTAACGGACTTAGGACTATTGCTAAACACCTTGACTCATGTTCCTTGTTTGGTTGTGGGCTTAGGGTAGGATCACTAGTCCGACTGTTGGCTAAATCATAGTTATACTTGCTAAATATATACATGAATATTAAAACCCCATTTTCAAAGTACTTACTAAACTCAGTTGCAAACATTGGGCAATTGAGTCTTTTCTACAAATCATTTACAGTTCAAACAAATATACTAGTAAACTATAATAGGTATAGTTTAGAGGATCAATACTTACTATTTCTAGAACAGAGGAACAATACATGAGTCAATACATACATACTATTACTATTCATTACAAAGTATACTATTCATTTACAAGTACAAAAAGGAACTTACATACTATAACAAGAACAAGATAACTAAAATGTGAGATACTATTTCATGGCATAGCAATGTACTTGTTATGTCACGTTTTGTAACCAGAGTCTCCTGGAGGGAGAGCGTGAGTTTGTGTATAGATCTATACGGGATTAGCCATCCCACACATTGCTGCTAGCTACAGTGGAACCTGCAGGTCTACGGGTGACAAATGTCATATCATTATCGACGCCTGAAGAACATCGTGTTTTATACTAGTCAATCAAGCATGATTATAACCTAATCACATTTAACCTTAATTAACCAGTTTGGTTACAAGGCAGTTAATGCATCAGTAGTTTATTTTACACAATTCTACTATAAATCTTCATTTTCCATTACACTCATACCGTGATTTTTCACATGAGAAATGCATACTATTTTCCTAGTAAAGATAGATTTACAAATATGGAAGACATATATTTTATACTATTTCAAGAACAAACTTACAT